CAATAAAAAAAAGTCAGGAGAAAATACCAAAGGCACGGGAAGGCTTAATTAAATACACAAAATACTTTTCCCGAAGCATTCCGTGCTAAAACGAGGTGCATCTTATACGCCATAAAATATGATAACTCTAATGCATTTTCTGAACGCAAAGAATAAAAAAATAATTTTGCTTACGTAAAGATATTTATTCCTTTAAATATTCACTAATAAACTGTGGCTATTCTTACTTTGTTTAAAGAACAATATATTATACGAACGATCGTAACATATGGTTCTACAAACAGCATATAAAATTATACATTAATCGTAATTATTTAAAACAAATTACATAATTAAACTCTACTAAACAAAATAAAAAATGGAATTCAACAATACAATTAAAAATTTAAGTGTCTCGTAATCTTTTTTTTTTTTATATAAAGATGATTTAGCGTTTCAACATATAAATTTATCAAAAAAATATTTTTATCCAAAACATTTAGATTTTTATAAAATTAAGTTTTTAACAGCATTAATATAATGACTTAAAATTATTATAACAGAAACTTTACTTAATGCAAACATATTTTTTATATTTAAACTAACTAAAAATAATTTATTATATACTTCAAAAGAAAAATTTGATAGTAAGCTAATCTTCAACTTTATTAAACTGAAAAATAACAAAGCAATTTATTAACAAAGTGAGATTTGTATCAAAGGAACAAAAGCCTACAAGTCAAAATCTAGTAAAATATTAGTTATTTAAGTAATTATAATTAAAGTCTTTAGAAGCTTAAATGCTTTTTTAAATTGGAATGTACAACAAAGCTAATTATCCTCCATCTTTAATATTTACATATTGTTGTGTTTAACAGTACAATTAAGTCTTACTTGTCAAAAATGAATATTTACAGCAAATAAATCATGTTTATCGCGAAAAGTTTTCAAACATATCAAACAAATAATGAAATATGTTTTGAAAATTCAACAGGAAAATGATAAATATTCAAGAAAACAATTCCACATCGCGAACATTCGTCCCTCACAAAAGAGTATCATTCGCTTAAGGATTTAATTAAAGAAATTTCAATAAAATATTTCAATTTCATTTCATTAATTTTTAAAATCACGTTCTTCTTCGCGGGGGGAAAAAAACATTAAATTAAATCAGATCGCCACTTTTCAATAAAAATTCGCAACCGAAAACGATAACCGACCGAAATTGATTTATACTTTTATTCCTTCCTTCCATAACAGAACTTTTGTGTATTGCCTACCTGTCACTCCGCCATTTTGAACCCATTAATGACGTCATCAGAATTAGAAAAAAAAAATAGCCACGATGTCTATTACGTTGGCCGAGTATTAATTAATAATTTAATAAAACGTCTTTAAAATAATTTTTAAATATTAATTTAGCGTNTGTATTGCCTACCTGTCACTCCGCCATTTTGAACCCATTAATGACGTCATCAGAATTAGAAAAAAAAATAGCCACGATGTCTATTACGTTGGCCGAGTATTAATTAATAATTTAATAAAACGTCTTTAAAATAATTTTTAAATATTAATTTAGCGTAATATTTTATTATAAATAGAACTTTACGATGTGTAAATACAAAACACAGTACGTACTGTATTTAAGATATGCCACGTCGATGTCAACTGTTATTTATAGTTGTAGATAAAAATCATTTTTAGACGATTAATTTGGATCTTTCGCCAGAAATTTTGATATCATCTCGGATTTAATTTTGTTTATTACGGCATGATAAAATTGCCGGACCGGGGGGGACGTATTTTTCCGGGCTGCATTTCGCAAAAATTATTTTATGAAATAGTATTTTAAATTTTAATTGTAATATAAAACTTTCGTTACATTATAACATTACATAATGATGGTACATCTGCAATTGGCATAATTCCAATCGCTGCAAAATTGAAACATTAGATGACTATTTGCTTACTTTAATTTTTAATACCAATTGACTGATTAATGCAAGGATCCGGCAAATTATACACTAAAGGTAGTTTGGAGATTTTCTCGTGTGGGACCGACTTACAAAAGCCTATCCTGTAATCGATAACATTTTCGATTCAATTAACTTGAAGCGAGCTTACCGGTGCAATTTTCTACAAAACAGAAAATTGACGATAATCTATCTACCTTTGTCAGACAGCGTGCTCTTTTTCTAGGAGGTAACCCAAAAGCCAAGATATGTAAGAAAATTTAATGTACGTTTAACATCGTTATAAAATGTGACTTTTGAAAGAAATGGCAGACGTACGAGTCCCTCGCCTGAGCCGAAATAGCGTTAACGCATCCCACGTTATACTCTTAAAGGAATGCATTCTAAGTTTAATTAATGATTCGTGTTTTAAATATTTACCCGGCACACCAAAGCCTTCAAATATCCTCGCGACGAAAAAGAGTTAAGGTACGGGGACCTCGGAGGCCACGGTCACCGATCCGCAAACCCGGAAACGACTATTCAATTTTCTTACGCATCGAGACTTTTGGAACAGCCCGTAGTTTACATTCAATAACTGCTACACTTACTTTTTATTTTCATCAATTTACTGTATAATCTTGGTATCTAAATTGCTACTGTACTGTACAAGTTTTTTTTTTCATTTTTCAGTTTTATTGTAAGATGGCTTTGTACAGAAGTAAATTGTTTAACAAATATTTGTTTTCTACTGATAAATATTACTTGACAAAAATATCTATAATTAGCATAGTATATGTTATTTGATTAAAATTGGAAAACTATTATCTTGATGTGTAAGGGTAATCGCATGAATGAGAACAAACTTTATATTGGAGCAATCAAAGAAACAGTAGAATGAAGATGAGTGAAGTTAGAATATAATCAGAATGATGATTTTTCTGCATTAAGTGATGTGAAGGAAAATTCTGTTTTGATACGAAAAATTTTCACTGGTAAATTATAAATAATTGACTGTAGTTTTGAAAAAAAGTACAGATCGACACTGGATCAAAAATATACTGTACTTTTATATTCAGTATAATGTATCACATATTGGATTCAAAGTATCTTGTTTATTTTCTGGATAGTTGAAGTTATAGCTTACCAGTGGGTGATGTGGTTTTTGGATTCTCAGAAGTTTTGGGAATAAAATTTAAATTAAAAATCTAACAAAAAGCTGAAATTAGATTTTATTAAAGAATAATTTGATATAATTTCATTTATTATTATAGAAAAACTAGCTGTTACCCGCAACTTCGTCCGCGGAGGTTTTGCAAGCAAACCCCATTTACATTCAATATTTCAATAACCATAGTAATTGTTATATAACACCTACCGCTGAAGAGAATTGCCGAGAATCAAACGAACTATCTTCAATTTGAACAATTTTCTGGAACGTTTACAATCGTTCTATAATCAAACCAATATGCAATAACAAATTCGAATTTAAAACGGATCAAACATTTTTAAAATCGAAATGTCTGAAATGTTATCAATTTAATACACCTAAGTACTCAATGAAGACTAAACGTAGTTGAAAACAAAAAACCGCATCTAAAATAGTACAGTAGAAGCCGTTCTTCCGGTTAAGCCTTAATCCTCTCCCTCTCCCCCCGCGGGGGAATTTTGAAAAATCCCTTCTTAGTGTGAATTCCCATGGCATACCCTACTAAAACGCATATAAAAAGAAAAAATCGCATCTAAAATAGTACAGTAGAAGCCGTTTTTCCGGTTAAGCCTTAATCCTCTCCCTCTCCCCCCGCAGGGGAATTTCGAAAAATCCCTTCTCAGTGTGCGTTTCCGTGACGTACCCTAACTGTCTACCAAATTTCACCTCTCTAGGTTAAGCGGTTTGCTCTGGGCGATGATGAGTCAGTCAGTCAGTCAGTCAGTGAGTCAGTCAGTCAGGACAAGCAATTTTATATATTTAGATGAATGCTTGGTTATCAATCACTGACTTATACCCTGTGACTGTGGATTGTTCTAGAAATAGATCAATAGTTCAGATAGTGTTTGTCCTCAAAGTTTCCTTCTAGATGTATTGAAAACACACTAGAACATTTGTCTGTAGGCATAAGGGATACTTAATTTTTCTTATTCTGATTGTACTTTTTCAATCATCCTCCACATCACTGTTGTAGAGATATTTTAACAATTATTCAAATGTTAAATATCACTGATACAATTACAAAACATCCTTGTTAATTTTTTGTTATATCACAAGTAGCTACAATAAACTATCACCTTTTGTACAGTAGGCATCCAACCATTCAAACTCATTCAACAGTATCAATATGTAACCAGTTCAAACCATTATTTTCTAGAAATTATCACATCTACAAGCTCCAAAAATACTAGCCAATCAACAATAATATTTTACCCAGATGCATTTTGGAAATTACAATATTTTCCTCTTTCCTTCTTGAGGAGGAAAATATTGTAATTTAACATACTATTAAATTAATAGCATATTAATTTTTACAGGACACCAAATATATAACATGAGCTTATAATACAATATTAGTAGTAGTAAATTCATAACTTTGAAAGATGTGATCACATAAATCTCTATTGAAGATTGTTTTAACATCAAAATTTGTTATTAAAATAAAATTTTACTGTAGTAGTTTTAAGCTTATAAAACACATTCATATTGTTATATTTGAATATGTTCTATATTAGCAATTTACAAAATTTTCAAAATAAAAATTAGAATTGTTTAAAAAAATTAAACAAAACAAATTAAATATAAATTTCACTGATAGATGAAGATATATAAATTTTGTTTAATTCAAAAAACTTGAAATTTAAACAAATTTAATAAAAAATGATTGTATTAAATATATGTTACGTATAAAAAAAGTTCAACTTGCATATTTTAAGGTGTTAAAATTTTTATTAAATTATTTTATAAATCTTCAAAAACAAACAATTTCTGTAATAATTATTTTATTTATAATAAATGTTAATTTAAAACTTAGATAACATACATCATTAAAAAGTTATTGAAGAAGAAGAATTTTATCCAGTACATTTATTTTTTGTTCATGAAACAAAACATTTATTTACATTTTTTGTTTTACTATCACTTTTTGGTTATTGGAAAAAACTGTTTTGTGTGTCAATCAATTAAAATATTTATGTGACTAAATGTATTGGAAATTTCTGTCTTTACCAATAAAAGGAACAAATTAAAAAGTCACATGCAGAACCCAGCCAAGATGATTCTTCCCTTTCTTTCTTTTGGTTTTTTGCAATAGATGCATCTTTCACAGGACTGTCCTCTTTTGGCAAATAATCTGGTAGTTCTACTTGATTTTCTTTTTCTGCATTTCCAAATAATATAAAACTTTCATCTCCATTTTCATTTTTCACAACTTGATATATATTTTCTACAGGCGTCTTGAAAATTGCCTGTACTACAAAAACTCTGGTTTTAAGTCAATNAATATATAATAATATATTATTTAAATAAATGAATAAAGAGAAAATTCCAGTCAGTTGACTTAAAAAGTTGAAAATTAAATCTTTTTTAATACCAGAAACAAACATTTAAGTTAAAAATTCATTTAAAAAAGCAGAGAATAAAAACAAAAAATTCATAATAAAAAAAAATGTTAAATAAATAATTATTGGTAGATATTAATACAGTAAGACCCTGCTTAATGTTGATTTGATATAATGTGGTCTGCTCAAAGCCTAAAATAAAAACTCAAAATTTACGCCAATTCAAATTATCGCAGCATTTCATTGATTCGTATATAATACAATTATTTACAAACACAAACCAATCAGCAAAAGGTGGCAATTCATCATAGTCCGTACTTTCCTTAAATCTGTTTGTTTGGTGCAATTTTGGAAAAAATATATCATCATGGATGCCATAGGAAATATCGACTTTGCTTGGCAAGAATTAACTGATAAATGTACGAACAGAGTGCAGAAGTTATGGCTGAAGGTATCCAAGAATTCTCAACGAGAAGAGCCTATTGCTGTATCGTTAGGTTGACCAAATTGTCAACCTAATTGATACAGAAGGACAAGCAGGATATTGAGGAGTTACTGTAGGTTTGTGGCGAGAACCTTACCAATGACGACCTTCAAGAACTGGCAAAACAAGGAATTCGTGTAGAACTGGAAAAAGTGATTCTGAAAATGAAGAACCCAAAGAATTTCTCTACAGATTTGTTTTACAGTAAAAGTTTGGTAACAATAGCCAAAATTGTTGATGAAATTGTAGTGAATGATCCAGATTTTGAAAGGAATGCAAAAGCAAGACAAGGCATTTTGGATGCAATCTCTTGCTATTGACATCTGCTTAAGGAAAGAAAAAAGTGACAAATGAAACTACATGACTTTATCGCAAACAACAAGAATATCAAAAAATGAGGACCTTCTTTACAAAAAATGAACTTTGCATTTTTGTGTGCATATGTTTGTGTTATTTAACATATCATCATTATGCAAATTAATATAAAAATAACTTAAATTAATGTAAAATGTGTTTATTTTTGGTTGCATGTTCCTCTTTCCCTATTTACTCTGTGTTAAAATGACCTTGTTTAATGCTTTGTCATCTAGGAACGCTTCCCCCGCATTAAGTGGGATCTTAATTTATATAATTTTTCAAAAGTTCTGTTTACTGTTTAATAAAAATTCAAAAATAACAATTACTAATGAAAAAAAAACAGAAATAATTTAATCTTACAATTTCCATATATTAAGAAGTGCAGTAGAGGAGGCAAAAATAAAATAAAGGTAAAGGATCATTTCAGATTTAAAAACCTTACAATCTAAATTTTCTTCTAAACATTTTTTCTTTTAATTATGCAATGTAAAAATCAATAATGTTAAAGTATTAAATTAGAAAATTTACAAATACATATTTCAAAAATTATAAAAAGTAATCACCATGCAAAGATATGGAAATTAGTAAAATTATAAAGGAAAAAAAATAGTACCATTAAGTGGAAACAGTCACATTTATAGAGAGAAGAGAGAGCAAAGAGAAAGTAAGTTTCCCATGTAATATTAGAAAGAAGTAGGGTTAGTAAGTTTATGCTCAATTTATGATTTCTAAAAAATATGGATATCATGATGTGGATTCTTTTCATTCTCTAATACAGGTATAGAGATTAGCTTGGAATTGAGATAAGTAAGTATAAGTAATTTGATAGTTATAATTTTCACTTTTAATATTAAATTTTAAAAAATATATATAATGATTAAAGATATTTTACAAATGTATTTTTCAAACTTTTCTTATTAAAATCCAAAACAGATAAAAAATTAAAAATTATAACATTCAATATAAATTAAAAATTTATTACATGTAATTTATTTGTAAAAGATATGCAGAATAAAAGGTATACTAAAGAGAGAAAATGACTGGAATGTTTTTAAAATGCTTATTGACAAATCTGATTTTCATTCAGTGATTCAGATTTCAGATCCAGTGATACACAGTCCATTAATTAATCGTTGAAAAGTCATATTTATAAAATTTACAAACACAATATTGGTTTTTAATTGTTATTTATTAAATATCTTATATTTATTAAGTAAAAACACATTGAAGTTAATTTTTTAAGAAATATATATTATCAATAATAATAATAATAAGTGTTACTGCCTGTTCCTGGTGAAACTACCCTGGAGGGGCTTTCGTTTTACCCTAGATTACCCTAAATTGAGAAAACTCTTCGAGCTCAAACTCAAGCTCGACCATCATCAAGCTCATGCTTGGATTAAAAAAAAAATATAAGAAACAATTCTATGATGCAGATCCCTGTACTATTATTGTGAAATAATAATCAGAACAATTCTTAATTCATTGTTTTTAAAAATCTTAATAATCTTTATCAGAGGTATTAATTTACATCTGATATGGAGAGTGCCAATGGCCCAATGGAATGAAGGTTGAAAAAAGTGAAATCCTACTCAGGTGTAATATACAGTGTACACCTATGTACATAGCACCAATCATCTTTATTTCTTTAGCTTCTGCTGTCCTATCCTAAAATCCTCCAGTTATAGGGGAAAACAGAACATTTTTAGGCTAAAACTTTTTCAGCAAAACTTGTGGTGCAATGGGTAATAGCATCAGATCACAGGGCAGTTTTACCCTAGATTTACCCTAAATATAAAACTACCCTAAACATTACCCTGAGGGGTTAAAATTACCCTAGAAACAGCAGCACTGATCATAAGTAAAAGTATCTTGCAATATAGTATGTAAAATGTCTACTAGGACTTATTATACCGGTGACCTGGTTCTGCAAATTTAAGGAAAACTAATAAAAAAAAACAGTCTTTATTTTTCACCTGTTTCACCTGTGTTTATTTTACATACTAAACTGTATTATAAGGACACAGAGGCATATAAATTAATATCTTGCAATAATTTAAACTATTCCTTTCAAAGATATGAACCAAAATCAAGAAATGAATTATTTGTTGTGTAAACATATATGGTACAAACAATGGAAATTAAACTACTGTAGCATACTTCTGTGAGAAATCAGACTTCAACATAAACAATTTAACTAATGTTGTAGCATCAACTTTCACACCTAGGAGTAAATCATTTGTTAAGTTCTCAGCACTGAAAATGACACTTTCTCACAACTTCCTGACCTACTATCTTGATTTATCCAAGTCAATATAACCAAAAACTGCAAGTTTAGGCAGTAATTGCCAGTCCTTTAACGGAATATCATCCCTTATCTAGTTCAGTGCCAACGGATATACCTAATTCTTGCGGATACCTCAGTTCAACGGATACTTCCTCGTCTACGGGTACGCATTTTGAAGACGAACTCTATCTCTGGGGTCTAAGATACATTGATATGTGACCAAGAACGAGCATCAGACTATTTTTGAACATTATCCCAAGGTATTTATTGCCACTCGAATCTCGTGTAAACGCTTTCTCGCAACCACTGTCATTTAAAGATCCCTTGAAGTTAAGGTCTAACGAACTGTAACAAAATTGTAAATTTTATCATCATGTCCATTTAATTAAATCGTTATTAGTTGTTAACTTGGTACCCGAGTGATTCACTTCCAGTACACTGTCTCTCAATCCATCTCCATCCTGGATCCGATCGCCCATGCACGCAGCTGCTCACGTGACCAAATCAATACGTCATCTTGGCTTCCGTATCAATCAGGACATAGTGGTGTCAGTCCTGATGAGGCACTAAAGAAGTGCCAACCCTCCGGTCACATTGGTGTCAGAAGTCAAGGAATTTTGCCCAGATCACACTTCAGTAATATGAGGTAAAGTCAAAAAGTTCCAGGACTGGTGATGTAGTGCTACAAATCACCCTCATGTTAAACTTGCACAAACCAAGATGCATAATAGACACCGTTATTTAGCTTCCTGCCAAATTTTGTGCAATTATCGTATGTAATTTTTATTGCTTGCAATTTGGATTAAATCTGTGTTCTTGTCATTTTACAAGGCAATGAAAATCACAAATCATCATCTTTTAAGGAATGGCATGCTTTTTTCAATAGGGAGGGAATTATTCTTTGGGAATTTGTTCCCCAAGTTCAAACTGTGAATCAAAATTTTCATATGGCTGTTTTGAGGTGCCTACATGAAAATGTCAGATGAAAAAAGACCAGATCTTTAGAAAGTTCAGAACTGGTTGTTATATCATGACAACATCTCCACTCACAACTCTCTCTATTCAACAGTTTCTCATCAAAAATAAAATAGCCGTGGTTCCCCATCCTCCTTATTCATCAGACTTGGCACCATGTGACTTTCTATTTCCACAGCTGAAAAAAAAGCACTGAAAGGAGAGCAATTTGAGAACATTGATGACAAGCAGAATGGAACTCATTTTGAAGGCTACAACTCTCAATAAATTAACATGTACTGTATGTCACATTTGTTGTTAGACCAGTTTTGGAACTTTTTGACTGCATGACATATAGGGTTTCTGAAACGGGATTCCGGGATCCCGGTTGTTTTTTTTAACCCGGGAAATATCCCGGGAAATTTTTCTTATCCCGGGAAATCCCGCAAATTTCTTAAAAATTCACTTTTTTTCTTATTTTGTGTTAAGGTTGAGGAGTTTTGCAAATAGAAAGCATAATTAACTCATTCACTGCCAGAATACATTTGTATTTATTAATTTTAAACCTACCTATTAGTTTTTTTAAATTTTTGCTCGTTATAGCATGTCACAAATGGTCAATAATCAATATATAGCTTATTTGTGGCATGACTATAAAAATTCTTTACTTGTCGGAACCTGTAATATCTGGAATAATTGTGCTTACGCTGTCTTGAGTTTTAACCATGCCCAGTAGCTTCAATAAATGCCTGACGCCAGATTGTGCAAATTGGGCAAGGATACAAACGAGTACAAAGTCTGCAAGTATGAAGTTTTTCTTCATAAACCTGATTATTAAAGCCAAATGAATTGCCGAATTATCGAGCTCTAAGCTTGATGCCGCTATTAAAGCAGCCAAGGTAGACAAATCAAGAATACTAGAGAGCGAAAGAAGTACTACAATCTCGAAAACGAACTCGAAAGCTTCCAGGCTACAGGTGAAAAAACACATAATATCTGTCTTCTCTTAAATGCATTAAACACTATTCCAATCACATCAATTGAATCGGAAAGGGCATTCTCGGTGGCAAGACTTTTCATTACTAAAATAAGAATTAGAGTGAGTTATCGGAGTATTGACCATCTTTGCTTTTTAAAATCTTATAAAAGTTTGCAATATTTTGTATTATATTTTATTTAAAAAACGAAAATTACCTTCTAAATTAGAAGTTCATTTTTTTAATTTTTAACTCAATTCAAAACATTTTTTTTGTTGTTGTTGTATGCAGTTTCCAGCAAACTTTAATTAATTTTTTTCTATTTGTGAAAATTTCTACGTTATTTAAAGGTAATTTTTATTATAGGCCTATAGACCTAACACAGCATTATTAATATGATTTTGGAGGTTACAAAACTTTAAAATTACTTTAAAAAATGGAAAATAATTATATCATTTGATTTCAAGATATTTTGTATACCTTAAAAATAATTAATTCTATCCCGGGATTTCCCAGGATCCCGGGAAACAGTTCACTTTTATCCCGGGATCCCGGGACAAGCAAAATACTGGGAAATGAGAAACCCTAATGACATATACTAAATAACATATTTGTTATTTATTATTTTATATTATTTTAATATAAAATAATAAATAACAAATATATTATTTTATATTATTTTAATATAAAATAATATTCAATAAAATATTAATATTCAATATTTAAATTCTAAAAATTGCAACTCTTGACAATTAGGTTACATCTTAAACATATGTTTCTAATCCTTATCTCAACAAATTCAGATGTGAGGAAAAGATGAAGCAGAGTTTACTGTGAGAACAGTTGAAATATTAACAAATCAATATTCTTGTTTAAATTTATTTTCTTCTTCAGATGAAAATATAGATGTTAAATTAATACTTAAGAAGGTGCTATGATTATTTAAAATCAAATTCATTCATGATTTGCTGTGCTAAGATACAAGGAAATTAAAGTGTTCATCAAGTCATTAAAATTTAAAAAAAAATTTTTTGTATAAACAAAATTATTTTTGCAGAGTACCAGATTTTTTTAATAAAAAGTATCTAAAGTATATATATAATACATACTAAATGTGTATGGCTGGCATTGCCCAGCCACACACATTTAGTATTGCCCAGGGTTTTGATGGGGGATTGATGAGGTAAACCTCACCAATCCCCCATCAAACCCACAAGAGTTCCCTTGAGCTGCTTTCCAGAGAGAGTAATAAAAATAATGGTCTTAATACCTAAAATATACATTTATTAACCCCAGTATTTACAATAATAAAACTGCAAAACAAAAAAATTGCTTGAGCTGAAGTTAAAAAAGAATAGGATTTAGGGGTGGCTGGGAATGGGTATTCCCATATTTTTTCTGGGCATAATGCCAAATTTGGCAAGGATATATTGAATGGTATAAACCCTTTACCTTACATACATAGATATTTTGACTTTTATACATATCTCAAAATTTTTAAAAATTAAAAAAAATAAATAAATACAGTGTTACATATCATTTTAATTAAGAAATTTAAAGATTATTTTTAAAATCTATATATTTAAAAATGATATTTTTAAATCTTACTTCATCTCCATTTTCATTTTTTACAACTTGATATATATTTTCTACAGGTGTCTTGAAAATTGCCTGTACTATAACCTAATGGAGTAGAAATATTGAATGGCATTAAATTTCATAATCAGTACACATTTTACTGAAATATTTAAAATAATCAAAAATAAAGAAGAGTTGGATGCAGTTAGCTGAAGCTGGATGAACAGTAGGCTGAAAAAATTCCTAATGAATTGTTATTTTTGTCTTCCTTAAACAGTTTTTGTTTCTAAATACAAAGAAAATCAAACTCAGTATCTTTAATCATTATCTGCATATTGTCCACATGAATCAAACCATTTGAAATACTAAAATTAATGAATATTTGGGCTAAACTTATTTCTTTTAGAAGTCTTCCTATAAAACAAAGACTGAAGCAAGAGAGACAATTTTAAGTTATTTTTTTAGCCACTTTAAAACTATTTTTAGAAACCAAGTTATTTAATATTTAAGACAAAAATACAAATATTAATGAAAATTTTAATAATTTATTAATGTGAAGACTTTACATCTGCATATCATTAAGCTCTCCCCTATCCCTTGAAAGAGTGGATGCTTTACATTTACATTTTGTCGGGTCTCCTCCCTCTCCCGAAGCAGTGTTCCTAGTTGGTGGAAAAACTGCAGGAGAGAGAAAATTCATGATCAGATGTGGTTTATAGCAGTCTACCGTCATCTCTTAAACTGCAAAAATGAGTGTTACAGTTATCAAATGGACTATTAGCAGCAATAGTAACATAATTACAAAAATCAAATTTATATTATTGTAATATTGTCACAATGGCAGGATGCAATTTTTAACCATGTTTTAATTTAGAAAAAACAAATCATGACTTCCAGTCCAGACTGGAAGTTCTTATATAGTTAATTGGGGTCTCCGGCCCATGAGCTTTCCATATCTGGTCTCGATTTTCATCTAGCTAACTCCATTCTCAAGATTAACAAAGAATAGATGGACAACAGTGAGAATGTATAGATCTGCAATTTGAAAATTGCAGCCCAATAAATCATCACCACACTTCACATTATATTGTCATTGTGCCCAAGAATAAGAAGGAAAGTCTATTTTAATTAAGAACTTACACAATTAAAAAAAAAAAAAATCTCACCTCTGGTTTTAAGTCAATTTTTGTTCTAAGAATACATCTCTGTTTTGCACGATTAAAAGTGAGACTAATTACTCCTTTCACTTTAACTAAATGTTCTTCACATTTCTTATAATAATCCTATATTTAGAGAAATGAAAAACAATCATATTTATCATTCAAAACTAAAATATACATCATCTCCTTATTTATTTTAACAACAATCATTAGCATATTAATATTAAATTACATGAGTGACATATTCCATTATTTTTTAATTAAGTATTTCTATGAGTACTAAGCTGCTATAAATCATAATTGATAATTATTGTAATATGAAAGAAAATTAGGACATCACACAACAGTCATATCATGATAGAATTGAGGCAGAGTCAGAAAGAAAGAAGCTATCCTTGCACTTGTTGGGCAGAATAGGCAATCTTCGTATCTGACATATGCGGACAGATAAACTTTGCATTTGCTGCCACAAAAGAAGCAATCCTTTTATCTGCCAGCCACAGGAAACACAATCCTTGCACTGGCCAACATGAAGATGCAATCCAGCAATTTGTTCTTGTGTTTTTCACATCTATTCTCCATTAAGCATATGCAATGCTGTTTTTATTTTTTGACCTTTAGGCCTAAATTCTGTTAGACATGCTCAGTCGCATCTAAGAGCATGGGCATTGTCACTTTAATACCTCTGTAGGCTATATTGAAACAAAGCCATGGAGTCCTGTTTTTATATTTAAATGGACACTCATTACATTTTTGGACTCCTGACTGCAATTAAAGGAAAATGGCAGAGTTTTATCAAAATCGGCCCATTAAATTTTGAGAACAAATTCAATTCTATAGCAAAGCTCACAGAAGATGTGCTAGCGACCGTGGAACATTGCACAACAAAGTTGTGCAATATCATCTTGTCATGCGTACTCATAAACTAATCTTATATCTCGAAAAAAGTCAGATTTCCATGTTTTATTGCATTTTTAGATTCATCATCACAATTAATGAAAAATGGCAAAATTTAATCAAAATCAATGGAACAGATTTTGAGAACAAACATAATTCTGTAGGTCATTTGAACTTTGAAGCCAATTTTTATCTATGTATGTATGTCTGTTTAATCCGAAATTAAGTTCGGTAGACTATCAATACAGCTTTCAGGTTAGACACTTCTTTTATTGTTTCCTCATATACATTTCGGACTTATATAAATGTTAAGTCCCTCTTCAGTGAAATACTACAAATTATTAAGAAACACAATTAGTAACATGATAAAATTCCTTGCGTGTAGGTCATATTTACTGACATAAAACTATCATACTTAAAAACTGTCACACTTATACGATACCTATGGTTCTGTCTTCTAAAACCATGGTGTATAACGGGTAACATTGGAAAGATTTTTTAATACAGCCATTAAAAACACCATAAATACATTTTCCAACATTAATACGGAAAACCTAATATATTAATAATTTTATAATTTTCTTAATAAAATAATAATATAACACAATATTCACTTATATTTTTCAACATGTGCTCATAAAATCTTATATAAGTACAACTTTTAAAGAATGTGTATATTCTACAATATAACGTTGCAGTAACTGCAATTATAATCGTTTTTTCAGGTTAAGTATATGTAGCATAGTAATATTAAAAACATTTTTAAGAGAATACATACACAATTTTACAATATATTTCCAATTATTTTCTGTCACAACACTGTATAATAAATACATTACAATCACTTTTTTTCATTAGCACCACCTATTATATTGTACCACTGTTGATCTACAGTGGGTGATCGGTTAATGAACATAATCCGTTCCAAGACTTTGTTCGCTATCCGAATTGTTCGTTAACCGATTATCGATTTACCATAGGTTTTAATGGGAATTTAATTAATTCGTTCTGGAGACCCCCAAAAATAAAAAATATATACTTTCTTACTATGTTTATTTATATGTAATAATAAAAATACACATATACGCAGTCTTGCATTTTTATTAGTCATGTTTTTTCTGTTTGAAAGGGTTAAAAAATCTGTCTAATGTCGATCGCTTTTCTCTCTTTTTCACGATTTTTCATAAGTAATTAATAGCATTGTAATTGTAGAGACCCCGAAGCCTCAACCTGGTTTGGATGCCATTCTAAGACCATCGTTCTGACATCCTCCCACTTCTATAAAGAATCTTTAATAACAGATATCGGCATTAATCCTCTTTTTCGGAAGAAAACGTATCTCGTCGAGTTTCTTGGTGTTTTTCATTTGCGAGTTCTTGGCATTCTTCTGTCGTCAGATCCGTTTTAGGTTACATTATGAACTCTTCGATGACCTGTTTACCTGTTACGCCATATTGCCCAGCAACATTAGGCATCTTCTGCTCACTCTCTATCTTTGCTATTATACTCTCACCTTTCGAAAATAAAAATAGACGCAAAACTTAATGAGTGCCTACCCGACAGTCTCACGAATACACAAAAGAATTGTTTTGTCAGAAAAATAAAATGCTGGAATTACAAGGGAGAATTTCAAAGTTCGAAGGAATACTATCCGATCGGTATATACCGGCTTGAGTGTTGATGTCGACATCTCCCACACTCTGAAAAGTTTCGAATTGTTGCCCGAAGACGAGGGAAGACCAATGGGTATTCATTATTTTACGTCGCTTCTTCTTGTGTTTGTTCTGTGGGGTGTTCGTTATCCTATCATGTGTTCATTGTCCGAACATAAAAATTCATTGCGAAAGTGTTCGTTATCCGATCTGTTCGTTAACCAATCACCCACTGTATTTACATACCATTTGATATAATTATCATCTTTAAATTTTATAACCTCAATATGTTCCTTAAATTTACATTTATACATATCTTTTTCCAAATGAATTATTTTTGTGTTATTTCTATCTATTTGACAATTACTATTTTTTATATGGTTGAACCACGGAGAGTTATTGTATTTTAATCTAATTGCTGCTTCATGTTCTTTAATTCTTAATTCTAACGTTCTACTAGTTTCACCTATATAATTTTTTGGTTTTTGGCAATTACAATTAATGTTATATACAACTCCTGATTTTTTTAATTTATCAACATTCATTTTATATTTATTATTATTATTATACATATTACGTGAAATTTTATTTGTCAAAGAACAATAAAATGTGGAAACAATAAAAGAAGTGTCTAATCTGAAAGCTNTTAATTCTAACGTTCTACTAGTTTCACCTATATAATTTTTTGGTTTTTGGCAATTACAATTAATTTTATATACAACTCCTGATTTTTTTAATTTATCAACATTCATTTTATATTTATTATTATTATTATACATATTACGTGAAATTTTATTTGTCAAAGAACAATAAAATGTGGAAACAATAAAAGAAGTGTCTAATCTGAAAGCTGTATTGATAGTTTAACAAACTTAATTTCGAATTAAAGATACATACATACATACATACATACATAGATCATAATAACAGCTACCAAAAGTGATATTTAGGCCAATTTTTATGTTCATTTGAAAGAAATTTCTGAGCTTTTGCAATTTTTCTATAAAATATAATGGAAATGTTCACAGAAAAGTATAGAAACAATAGATGAATTCCTTGAAAAAAGTTGAGAGAAAAGATGACAAAATTCAATAGCACTGTATATCCAAACATAAACATGTCAACAAAGGCTTCATACAGATACAATATTGTCACATAATATGCATACGAAAAATTTATTAAACTTATAATATTCTTAGTTTAAGAAAACAGTTTCAGAATTTTTACCTGGGTTAATAAGCCTTCAATTTGGAAAGTAAGTGTCTTTGCCTTAGAGTTTATACCATCCAAGAAAAATGATCTTGGAGCTATTTTTTTTGATTTTGTTTCTTGCAAAACATTGCTGAAAATAATAATAAAATCTTTAGTTTGCTTGAATTTCGTTTCTTCTGAGATCACAGCAATGCGCGACGGGTAAGCTAGTATATATATAAAAATGGACGTGTTTGTGCCTATACATCACTCTGCAGCCAAAACTACACATCACGCATGAATAGTGTTTGTATGTGGTAGTAGCCTCAAGTCTCCCATCGTGCACTATGGTGGTTGCGTCTCAATAGCTATAAGGGTGTGAGAGATATAGGGGTTAAAAGTGGTTGACTTTGAAAATGTATGACGCTTCAATGAGAACGTTCCAATTTTTTCTAAAAAGTTCCAGAACCTAGAGGTGAAATTTAGTACACAGTTAGGGTACTTCATGAAAACGCACACTAAAAAGGGATTTTTCGAAATTCCCCCGCGAGGGAGAGGGAGAGCATTAAGGCTTAACCTGAAGAATGGCTTCTATTGTACTATTTTAGATGCGATTTTTTGTTTTTAGTTATGTTTAGTCTTCATTGTGTACTTAGGGGTATTAAATTAATAACATTTCAGACATTGTTATAAATATTTTCATATATTTTGATTTTTTAACTAAATGTTCGAACTGTTTTAAATTTGAATTTCTTTTTGCATATTGGTTCGATCATAGAATGATTGTAAATGTTCCAGAAAATTGATCAAATTAAAAACAGTTTGTTTGATTCTCAGCAGTAGGTGTTAAATAACAATTACTATGGTTGTTGAAATATTGAATGTAAATAGGGTTTGCTTGCAAAATCCACGCAAGCAAAGCTGCGGGTAAAGCTAATTAAAAATAAAAATAAATAAATACATTTCTTAAAAATTTCTTTGGAAATATGTTATTAAATCAAATCAAAAATAGTTTATTAATATAAATCTGTAAAATATTTCTTATTTGCATTTTGTATAAATTCTTATAAAGTTTATTTTCTTTTTTCATGTGTGTTCTTAGATTTGAAATATTAAAATGCCTAACAAAAATTAGGCACTGCATTTTCCTTGGGCATATTTGAAATCAGCATACCAGAAATAACATAAAACAACATTAACATATTAGTATTTACATTAAATAACATAAATTATATAGCCAACAAATCTAAAACGTTTTTGTGTAACAAAAACGTTTTAGATTTGTTGGCTATATAATTTATTTCATTTCATTAATCATATTTCATGAATTGACAGTTTATATAGTGATTGCAAGAATTCACTTCATCATTATATCCCAACTAGTAATAAAAATAATTTGATATTGATCAAAACTAAATTTTCTAAACTATAAGAACTACTATTGCTGTTTCTTCCATTCAAATTATTAACTTCTTTAGAAACAAAACACCATTTATGCATTTATAATTTACATAATACATTTGAAAATAAAAAAAGATATGAACTTTTATTAAAATGATAATTTATAAATATAAACTACAAATAAAAGCTTAAGTTATACATTAATGAAGGAAAAATATTTAGAAAACAATAAATTACTGTGGAACACTAAATCTAAAGTTTAAAATTAAATAAAAATAACATTTCTTTTTACAAATAAAAAAAAATAATTGTTTCAGTGCATTTTTAAATACTCCATCAATTAAAAATCATTAAATTGGAAAACAAAATAGTTCTAAATAAAGATTATCCTATAATCTACTTATAATTTTAAAGAGACATGTATTATAATTGTTAATAGGGGATGAGCATGTGTGTTTGTGATAGCTGCAATTCTCAAATACTAAGCAAATCAAATTGGAGTAAAATAGGTGTTAGCTAACTTTTATATATATTTTTTAAATTAGTAATTGAATACATATGATTAAAACTCTGATTATATCAATAAAGTAATTACTATTAATTAAAATGTTATATCATCATTAGTTAAAAAATAATATATATGTATATAATCTTACAAGTTGTTTGTTATTTCTTTAATTGAATGTTTACTTTCTCTATTTGTAAACTTTTTCCCATCCAAAGAGCTTTGTTCTGCAATAATCAACTGATGCAACTTTTTGATTAATTTCTTCAAATTATCAGATATATCACTAGAATTAATAATAGTATATCAATATAAAATAAAAAAACAGTGTCAACACAAAATAAAAATCAATTGCTTACATTTTCTTTTCAAGATAATTAAGAGATTGTGAAACTCCACAAATTTGAATTAACTTTTTTCTGTTCTCAAATTTTTCACACAAAGTAATCAAAGTCTTAAAAAGAAAAAAAAAATTAATATTTATAAGTTTACAGATATAAAAAGAATAATATTAAAATTTCAAGTTAAAGATCAAAATTATATTCTCAAAGTTATATATGATTCATCCTCTGAATGCTATGTAAATTTATATACAGTGTAAGTCAAAATTATGTGAACACTATACAAGGTCTGTTCAAAAAGTATCGGACCTTTTTTTTTCCACGTAAACCAATGATGCGCGAGAGGCTTCCTTCGGTGGAGTTGTGGAGGGGACAGTCATGCACAGCCCTGAATTTTTTCCCGCCTGCAGGAAGCGTCAGTCGTTGGCAATCGGCCTATGAGTGAG